CCCTACTGCCCAGAGCAGTTTCTAGATTCAATGCTATCCCTATCATACTACCAATGAGATTTTTCACAGAATTAGAAAAATGTCTAAAATTCATATGAAACCCAAAATGAACCCAAATAACCAAAGCAACCCAAGCAAAAAGAACAAAACTGGAGGGATTACTTCTACTACTTCTACTACAGCTTGACTTCTAACTATACTACAAGGCTACTGTAAGCAAAATAACATAATACTGGTACAAAAGTAGATACATAGGCCAATAGAACAGATTAAAGAACCCAGAGATTAAGTCATACATCAACAACCATCTCATCTTTGTGAAAGCTGGCAATAACAAGAAATGGGAAAAGAACTCACTATTCAATAAATGATGTTGGAATGACTGACTAGCCATATGCATGAGATTAAAACTGGACCCCTTCTTTACACCATATACAAAAATCAACTTAAGATGGATTAAAGACTTAAATGTAAAACCTAAAACTATAAAAATCCTAGAAGAAGACCTAGGATATATCATTCTGGACATTATTTCTGGCAAACATCATGACAAAGACTCAAAAAGCAACTGCAACATAAACAAACATTGACAAGTGGGACCTAATTAAGCTGAAGAGCTTTGCACAGCTAATAAAACTATCAAAAGAGTAAACAGGCAACCTACAGAATGGAAAAAAAAATTGCAAAGTGTGCTTCTTACGAAATTCTGATATCCAAAGTCTACAAGGAACTTAAATTTGCAAGAAGAAAACAAACAATCCCATTAAAAGATGAGCAATGTTCATGGACAGACACTTCTCAAAAGAAGAAATGCACATGAACAACAAGCATATAAAAAATGCTCAACATTATTATCATTAGAAAAATGCAAATCAAAACCACAATGAGATACCATCTCACACCAGTCACAACGGCGATTATTAAAAAGTCAAAAAATAACAGATGCTAGAGAAGTTGTGAGAAAGGGGAACGCTATATACAGCTTGTAGGAATGTAAATTAGTTCAGCCACTGTGGAAACCAGCTTAGCAATTTCTGAAGGAACTTAAAACAAAACTACCATTCAACCCTGCAATCACATTACTGAGTACATACCCGAAGGAATATAAATTGTTCTACCATAGAAACATTTGCATATCTATGTTCATCACAGCACCATTCAGAATAGCAGAGACAAGGAGTCAACCTAGATGCCCATCAGTGGAAGACTGGATGATTTAGTTCATTCTCACACTGCTATAAAGATACTACCCAAGACTTGGTAATTTATAAACAAAGAAGGTTTAATTGTCTCACAGTTCTGTATGACTGGAGAAGCCTCAGGAAACTTACAATCATGGTAGAAGGGGAAGCAGGCACCTTGTTCACAAAGCAGCAGGAAAGAAAGTGTGTGCAAACGCTAGAAAAACTACCATTTATAAAACCATCATATCTTGTGAGAATTCACTTACTATCCATGAGAACAGCATGATGGAAACTGCCCCCATAATCCAATTACTCAGCTGTAAATGAGGACCAGTTGACAGTGGAATTTATCCTAATATCAGGGGTATCAGAATAATTTCTGATTTTCATGCTCCACTTTCTCCTAGAGTCACTGCTAATATCACCAAGGATTGTTGCAGTGTGTGGTTCAGGCTTCCAAATATTTTAGGTTTGTGAGGATACTTCATTAATATTGTTATAGATGTTCTTCCTAGTTTTGTTTGTTCCTTTAATTATTCACTAGGTTTATACTGCTTATGCTGTTGTTTCATTTATTTCAGGGAACAGGGGAGAGTTAAAGATTTGGGGGTAGGTAAATCTACCATTATCTTTCCAGACCTTGGTCTCAATTTGATAGTATGCTCAGCAGTTAGAACAGCAGCAAGTTAAAAACCCCAATTATCCTTTCTGATATAAGAACAACCTTTGAGCTCCATCACATCTGAAAATTCACTAAGTAATTATAATCTTTTGGCTTCTGCAATGGGCAGGAAGTTGTAGGAATATTTGTAAGAACAGTTAATGCTAAAATTATTGGGGTTAATGGAAAGACATACTACAGACTCTCTTGGTATTTGCGAAGAGAGCTCATTAATATGCCTGTTAGACTTTTGCAATGAGACATGCTTAGATATTCCCATTTGAAGGAAGTAAATGAACCAAAAAGGAAATACTATTTTTGCTCCTGAAATACAGACAAGGCTTTGCATATTGTTTACTTTCGCAAGGATTCCAAGCACTGTTCTTTTAGGAAGTTGGTTTTGTATTTTTAATTTCAGTAGAAAGTGACAACAGGCTGAATTGCTTTTCTGAATATCGGAATTCACAATTTCTCCTTAATAATGTTTGTGGAATAAATGAGATTTACTTAGCTAAAAAATTTAAAATTCTAGTAAGTCTCTTTAGTTACATTTGAAATAATTTAAATTTTATGAACCATCCTGAATCCTGAACTCTACTTTTGCTTTGTGACTTCTTAGAACAAACTAAACCTGTCGCAAGATTTTATATATTATGTAAAAAACAATTTTGTAGCAAGAGAGCTCTCCTCTATGATTAGCAGGAAAAGCAGGAAACAAGAAGCACAGAGGGTCCTGGAGCCCAGGCGAGCTCCATCCTCCCTGACATTGTCTCAGCCCATAGTTAAGCAGCACTTCAGTTCTTCGTGTTGGCCATGTTCCCTCACCCATAAGTGCTTTATAGCATAATGTTTAAACAAAGAAAACAAGTTTATATAACATAATGCTTAAACAAAGAAAAGAAATTTATGCTTAAGTAATTTTGATTTACCAGTTTCCAAAATAGAGGTATTTCCCATGAGAGATTCATATTCCAATTTCATATTTTTTAATCTCAAGGTGATGATTTATATTTTTCTGTTTTTTTTCCCCAGCAATGAAGGTTGATAAACAGAAGACAGGTAATCTAGATGTAATTAAACCTTGATAAATTCAAACAGAGTCCACTGTAAAAAGCCGTTAGGGAGTTGATGAGATCATAGGATAGTCTTCTCTTTCCTTGGGAAGTTAGAGTAAGTAGAAAGACAGGCCGGGCGCGGTGGCTCAAGCCTGTAATCCCAGCACTTTGGGAGACCGAGACAGGCGGATCACGAGGTCAGGAGATCGAGACCATCCTGGCTAACACGGTGAAACCCCGTCTCTACTAAAAAAATACAAAAAAACTAGCTGGGCGTGGTGGCGGGCGCCTGTAGTCCCAGCTACTCGGGAGGCTGAGGCAGGAGAATGGCCTGAATCCAGGAGGCGGAGCTTGCAGTGAGCTGAGATCCGACCACTGCACTCCAGCCTGGGCGACAGAGCAAGACTCCGTCTCAAAAAAAAAAAAAAAAAAAAAAAAAAAAGAAAGACAATTTCCTCTCAGTCTGGATAAAGGCTAGTGGCAGAGTAAAAAGTTCTGATACACTTATACTTCCAGAGTTAATGTTTACATTTGTTTTGTGTTTTTAATTTTACAAAGTGTTTTTAAATATTGTGATTCATTAAATTGTTTTTTCCTCTCTAGCTACTGATTTCTGTGAACCTACATTACATTTAAGGTCAAATATATAGAAAGAAGAACAGAGAGTGTGAATGGCAATGGCTTGCCATCAGAGAGAGACTTTGAGAAAGACAAGTTCAGACTGAATGTTACTAGGTGAAGTGACAGAATGGTTCCAGGTAAATGGAGGAAAAACAATATTTTTTAATGTGTGGCAATATTCTGTTGAAGTTTAGTCTCTAGCCTGCCACAGTGACAAAGATGAAACTATGCAATATTTCTATGAATCTGTTTAGGGGCTGGAGTAAGGAGCAATCATTTAGGTGGGTGGTGTCTGATGGCCCAGTGGGCAGACATTCAGCATCTATGAAGCTTCTTCAAGGCCTTAAGTGTTGCTTTTAGGTTTATGTGAACAGACTTTAATTTTCATGAAGAGAAGAGTAAGATGATGTCCCAATGTGAAGAGGAAGTTGCAAAAACAGTTTTCATAGTGTGCCAACATGAACTAAGTTAGAACTATATTGATGAGCAGGGTTAATGATTCGTACTAGATGGGATGATAATGAACTTTAAAATTAAGCAGTAATTCCTCTTCTCAGCTTGGATGTGCCTCAGAGGATGCAGGTAGAACTTGGGAAGCAATAAGGATCCCACTGCCCAGCATTAACATACCAGTCTCAGGTCATCTGCTCACAGTCTTGAGGTTCTCACTGCAAACACTAAACCTCACTTCTGGAGTGATGGGGGATTTAGGCTGAGGCTCCGCCTTCTTTTATGTACCACACCTATATATACCTGTGGCTTGGAAGGGACATTATTTAACCCATGTGCCTCAGAGTTGTTGAAAATAAAGGCAAGAAGTGGATATGCTTGGTTATGAGTTAAAGTGTGAATTCTTGTCATCACTACTAATCAATTAGGGAGGGCCTTTATCATTATCTTAAAAGTTTATTTTAAAAAATATTGTCAGAGAAGGGAAACGGATGTCATGTGATCATATCAGGCATCTGTCTAACATGTTATTTCTGTTCATCCTAAAGTCATCCTACTTATTCTCATGTTTTATGGATTACTATTACTGATATTACTTAGTATTAATTCTTGGTAAATTTTAAAATTATGTATGTGTGTGTGTGTCTTTGTTCATTTGAAATGCTTCAATTAAATGTCTGAGATATGGTAATTTCTAAAGAGCAGAAATTTATTTCTCACAGTTCTGGAAGCTGGGAAATCCAAGATGAAAATCCCAGCATTTGGTTAGTGAGGACCTTCTTGCTGCATCCTCGCTTGGCAGAAGACGGAAGAGCAAGCTGGCTGCATGCTGCTATGTGAGGCATATGTTGTAAGGGACTTGGTTCCATTAACAGAGGAGGTGTTTTCATGGCCTAATTACTTCATAAAGGCCCCACGTCTTACTACCATCGTATTGGCAACACTGGAATTTTGGAGGGGACGCATTCAAATCGCAGCATACATATATACAGAGCATGTATGTATGTACTCTTAAGAACCTTTGCTTTCATGCTCATTTTGCAACACAGATACTAATATTGTAAAGATACAGTGAAGATTAGCATGGCTCCTAGGCAAGGATGAAATGCAGATTCATGAAATATTTCATATTTAATAAATAAATACATAAAAGAACTTTTGTCTTCCCTTCCCTCAAGCCTCCAATGTTCTTGAACCTTCTGGCTGTTAAGAAGCCTGTTCAGGAGTGAGAATCTGGTCATTAACCTACACCCAGGTCAGCTCATCCCCAAAGCCCTGGAGGCCAGCAACAGGTAGGACAAATCTAGATTGGGACTCTCACTGCCAGTTAATCCGTGAAACTCTGGGCAGCTCACTCTCTCTGAACCTCACTTTTCCCATCTGTAAAATGAAATGCTTCCTCCTAACTGGAGCCCTCCTTCCTCTCGATGGATCACCAGATAGATAGATAGATACATAGATGATAAATAGATGATAGATAGATAGACAGATACACACACATATCTACATATATATAATGCATATATATATAATACATCTACACATATATAATACATAATCTACATATATAATACAATATATATGTATATATACACATATATTCTTATGCATACATATATATGTATATATAAAAAAGCAAATATATATATATATGTGTGTGTGCATATATATATATGAGAAAAGATCCCCAGATGATTAGACTACAACAAAGGCACCTTCCATCTTTCTGGTTGCTAAAACTCTATTTAAGATAAGATAAAGGAGAAAATAAGTTATTTCCCTAGTGTTGGGCATGAAAATACATCTGGAGATATAATTGTCATCAAACAACACAAATGTTCATAGTTTGCTTAACACATCCCCAGAGCACTCACATCCAGAAGCTCTAAAGCCACCACATTCATTATGCAGATCCACACAGTAATTTTCTAACCTAAACTCTTCTTTCTTAAAAGGATTGTTACAGTTAAATGAATGGTGACTTGAAATCTGGTTCACATCTTTATTTAAAAAAAAAATTACAGTGATGAAAAAGAAGTTATGTTTGATAATTATCAGGAGCTAAAGCAGCAGAGCCTTTACAAAGAGGAGTTACAGAACACTTTTCCTCTGATTTTCCGAAGCAGTAACCTAACTATCAGAAGAAAGGGAATGGATACACCCTGAGATATTTAGGAGCATATCTGGAATCACTTCTGGTGGAAATACGTTTTTGAAACCTAGAGGTAATTTTTAATGTATTTTTCCACATTTTCTGTCTTATCAATATTTTTATTTGGATTATCATAAAGAAAATGTCTTATATAAAGCTTTGAATAAAGCTGATGCTCTAAGAAGATGCATTCTAGACCAGGCGTGGTGGCTCACACCTGTAATCCCAGGACTTTGGGAGGCAGAGGTGGGTGAGTCACTTGAGGTCAGGAGTTCAAGATGAGCCTGGTCAACATAGTGAAACCTCGTCTCTACCAAAATACAAAAATTAGCTGGGCATGGTGGTGTGCGCCTGTAATTCCAACTACTTAGGAGGCTGAAGAAGGAGAATCACTTGAACCTGGGAAGTGGAGGTTGCCGTGAGCCAAGATTGTGCCACTGCACTCCAGCCTGGGTGAAAGAGTGAGAATCCATCTCAAAAAAAAAAAAAAAAAAAGACCTCGCGCTGGCCACCACTCGGCCTCCCAAAGTGCTGGGAGGCCGAGGCGGGCAGATCACAAGGTCAGGAGATCGAGACCACGGTGAAACCCCGTCTCTACTAAAAATACAAAAAATTAGACGGGCGTCGTGGAGGGCGCCTGTAGTCCCAGCTACTCAGGAGGCTGAGGCAGGAGAACGGCGTGACCCCGGGAGGCGGAGCTTGCAGTGAGCCGAGATCCGGCCACTGCACTCCAGCTTGGGCGACAGAGCAAGACTCCGTCTCAAAAAAAAAAAAAAAGAAAAAAGAAAAAAAAAAGAAAAAAACAGAAAATGTATTGTATTTATTCTGTAGCTTTTTATGGAAGCTTATGTACTGATGTGAACCCCCCAAATATATACACATTCCAACTTGTGAGGTGTAGGAGTGGGTAGTCATTATCTACCCTGTATCTTTCCATTACTTTGTTTGTATAGCCATATCTATATCACTTATGTATTATCATGTTATTACTATATAATTATCTATTATCACATATTATCTATTTATATTACCATATTATCTATTTAAGGAAAATATAAGCATGAAAATAAACATAGAAAATATAAGCACATATACTACCTTTTACTTATTTATGTGCTTATAGAAAATAAATAATGTATTTATTAGAATAGCATTGCATAGAAATCATGAAATTTACTTTGATTCATGCAGGACTTATAGAGCATGTCTGTTAAGATCTATGAGTTTGTCTATTATTTCTATTAAGGTTTTGAAATAGTTTTTTAAATATTGACACAAAATAAATAAATTTAACTTCTGAGAGTTAGTTACATATCAGAATTAGTAAACTGTTGAACAAAAAAAATACGTCTATAAAATATTTAAGAATAAATTGACAGCTAATGGTATATGTTTGGATAAATGAGTCCTGAATTATCTAAATACATATTTAAAAGACCACTGTGAAAATTAATTATATTCTAATATTTTAACAGTCTGACCAAAAATTACGTGATAATATTATCTGACATTTCAGGTTCATAAAAAATTGCAATTATATATACTTAGTTAGGATTTGATGCAAGTGTAGGGTTTCTGAATTTACAGATATTTTTGAATAATTTAATTATGGAGTAACTTTTCCTTATTTTACTAAAGATTATCTAGATCAATTTGATTTTTAAAGATCCTCTCATCTTTCTTTCCACCTATACTGTATCCATCTTAGAAATTAAAACTCTCCGAATTTGAAGGGATTTTAAAATGCAAATGTCTGTTTGCTACATCAAACAATTTTACCCATTGTTTAACCATTTTTAAACATCTTCAGGGATACAGAACTCACCAGTTTTAACACAACACTTTTTGGGCCTACTCTAAGAGCAAATGTGATGCATTTAAGGCATTTGTGTGTGGGCCAGGTCTCAGGGTAATTAATTATTATGATTTTTTTAGTGTGCCATGGACATACACACAGATTACATGTTCTAGAATGTTAAACTAGAGTTTAAAACTCTAATAAGTTTCTTCTTGTCATTTTATGAAAAAAGCAAATACATGGTGCAAGAATGAACATATGATTTAGGATAGGAATAATTGGTATATCCCCTGATATCTCCTTTTACTTCATTGAGATAACCATAGAAGAATGAGGAATAGACCTTTGTGTCATTGAGCTGGTGTTTTAGGGGAAGGGGAATATATTAGGCCATTCTTGCATTGCTATAAAGAAATACCTGAGACTGGGTGATTTATAAAGAAAAGAGATTTAATTGGCTCATGGTTCTTCAGGCTATACAAGCAGATTGCTGGCATCTGCTTGGTTTCTGGGGAGGCTCAGGGAGCTTTTACTCATAGCAGAAAGTGAAGTGGAAGCAGACATGCAGGAGCAAGAGACAGAGAGTAGTGGGAAGGGGAGTACCCACAGTTTAAAACACGTAGATCTTGAGAGTACCACTCACTATCACGAGGACAGCACCAAGTCATAAGAAATCCACTCCCATGTCCCAAACACCTCCCACCAGGCCCCACTGCCAACAATGGGGATTCAATTCAACATGAGATTTAAGAGGCGACAAATATCCAAACAATATCTGGTAAGTATTTTAGTAAGTGGGGAAACTCTTTTTTTCACTGCGTTAACAAGCTCAAAGTATCAAGGCAGGCCTACAAAATCCTACCTTAGATCCTTCTGTTATTCATATTTGTGTTTCACAGCACTCTAAAATATAAGTCATGAGCTTCAAAACCATATCCCCGATTCCAAAAGTCTGTGAATGTCCTACCTGAAGCATATATATTTTTAAATTCTAGGTTGAGCATGCTTAATTTTCTGTTTCATTCAGGAGGACTATGGTTACTTTAAATTTTAATATAAAATTTAGCTGCTCTGAACATAAGGAGCTCTATTAGCACAGCAGACATTCTCATGGGCTCCATCCTGAATATCTACCGCATCCACAAATATAAGAATATTTACCAACTCTTTGCCAATGTAAGACCGCATAATGGTTAGTTAAGCATCAACATTCATGGTTAAGAAAAACTTGCAGTCTCAAATATGCTTGGCGATCACAGAATAGATGCTAGATTGTAATTCACAGAGGGAAAGGGATAGACAGACATTCTCAAAGCTAGGAGTAATTTTCATTAGAAAAATTTTATTGTACACTTTAAAGTATGATTCATGTTAATACAAGTAAATGCCATTTTTACATTTTTCCCATTTTCTTTCTTGCAACAAAAGTTTTATTATGTTTTCTTGGTTAGATCAGAGCAATTACAACTCTCAAGTGTCTAGGAATAGTCTCAGTGCATGTGTATGCAGCAATAAACATGTTTCATTCTTGGGGTCAATGAGATTGTTCTCTCTCTTCCAAATGGCCTAAGAAGTCAACAGACCAAATCATGTTTGGGGTTTCTCTCACACTCCTGAAAGCACTCTGATCTGGAGTTTTCAGTGTCTCACAATTCCTTGATTTGGGACAGATCACCAGACTATAGATTCTTTGATTTCTTCTGCTTTGTTAAGTTTGATAGTTAAATAAGTAGCAGCATGGTATGGAGGGAGGAGCAGAAACTGTAAAGTGAATGTAAAATAGCCCAGGTATGGTGGTTCACACCTGTAATCTCAGTACTTTGGGAGGCCAAGGCATGTAGATCACCTGAGATCAAAAGATCGAGACCATCCTGGCCAACCTGATGAAACCCCATCTCTACTAAAAATACAAAAATTAGCCGAGCATGGTGGTGCATACCTGTAAACTAAGCTACTTGGGAGGCTAAGGCAGGAGAATCCCTTAAACTCAGGTGGCAGATGTTGCCATGAGCCGAGATCGTGCCACTGCACTTCAGCCTAAGTTGTAGAGTAAGAGTCCGTCTCAAACAAACAAACAAAAGAAAAGAAAACAAAACATAAAAAGAATGTAAAATAGATGTCAAGTCCTCTTCTCATTGTGACCTGGGGCTTCTCAGCCATCCCTGTGAGCTCAACTTTCTTATAT